CGCTCCCGGCTGGGAAACAAACAGGGGCAGTCGCAAGGGATTTCTCAGCCCCCGCCGCAGCCAGGCTGAGCGCGTTCCTGCAGGAAGGAAATCCCTACCTGGCCGCACCCGGACAGAAAAACCCCAAAACGATCTGTACGTATTTGGGGTAGGAAGGGAGTTTTGATGGTGAGTTGCGGCACTGCCTGCAGCCCCCCCGTACCTGGAGTGTTTTCGCCCGGAGGGTGCTGCAGGAAGGCACCTATCGCTGCACCGGGAATGGGCAAGCGATCCTTGCCAAGGCACAGCTCTGAAGGCCGGAAAAGGAAGCGAACCCAGAGGAGATGCGGTTCCCGCAGGGGCCCGCACATCATCCACACACCGTGTCTGGCTGCCCGGGGCTGCAGCTCGCCCGGGAACCATCCCGGGCAAAACGTGGGCAGGAGCCTGGGCTGGCGCTGCTCCTGCCTCTCGTGGTTACTGGCACGACGGGAGCCCAGGCTGCACAGGGCTGTCAGGTCAGCCTACAGGTAGGAGTGAAGCACAAGCTACTTTCTGGTCAAAGACAGAGAGGAACAGGTGAGCACCTGGCAGCCTTCCCCACCAGAGCTGGAGAGCCTTGCTCCTGCACTCACCACTAGTTTCTGCTTTCTTCTGTCAGGGGATGTATCAAAGACAATTGATAACAATTGCTTAGGGAGCCTCATAAACCCTCTTGTCCAAGCACATACAAACCTAAACCTAGCATTACTGAAGTTTTGGGAAGTTGCTGACACCTCAGCCAACTAAATGCACCAAGAGGCAGCTTAACACTCAAAGAGACCTGGTCCAGCTGAAAGACTGAGCCCACTTCAGCAACAGCTAGCCTTAGTCTGTTGTATCTGAGGTTCAAAGCTACTTATTTATGTAGATATGAGCAACATACCTACTGGCAAATGAGCTAGTAAAATAAAACCTAAACTATAACATTTTTCTTCTGCAGTTTTGTCAGTGCTTGTTCCTGTTTTAGTAAACCTTATTTCTTAACTCTCAGTTTCCTCTATTTTATTTTGCAACATTGAAGCTAAAATGAACAACACCAGGAAAAAAGAGCACTTGGGTACAAAGCTTCAGAACAGATGTCAAACTAACAGAGGATTCACACGCTTTACATGTGCATGTACACACATGCATAAAGCATAACTTATTTTCAAGGCTGCACTATATCACATCAGTTGTACTTTTATATGCTTCCCTTGCATCACTGATCAAGAACTTTCTACAAGTCCAATGAATGACAGGAGATTAATCATGGTTCCAGATAATCTTTATTCTTTCAAATGTTCCCATTTCTTACACTAATTTAAAGTGTTTCACTCTTTGAGATATTCACACAGTGAAAATGAATAGCACAGTTGAACAGGAAAAAAAAAAATTGCACTCAAATAAGAGCAGGTAGGAGGCCAGACCCTTTGAAGAAAGAACAGCAGTTCCTTCCTTACTTCTGATTTGCAGATGGTTCACAGTCATGGAGGATGCTGGATAAACAGATTCGAGCTGTGCAAGGCAAAGGACTGCAGTTAAAAGAGAGGAAGTGAAAGTGCACAGCATGGAAAGGTCTTACTGGAAAGATACCAGATGGTCTCCCAGGGGAAGTGGTAGATGCCTCCACATTGGACAGTTTTAAGTCTCAGCTTGACAGGATGCTGAGCCATCTCAAATAAACTAGAGTAGTACCTAGAAAGGTTGGACCAGATGATCCTTGAGGTCCCTTCCAACCTGGCATTCTGTGATTCTAGGATTCTATGATAACATTACAGTAACAAGACACACAAAGAGCCTCAAACATCTGGATGACACAATCAGCTTACGGACTCTGGATTTACTGCCTGAGGCTAAAATGAACAGTATCAGCTGTAACTCTTACTGTCGGTGCCATGCCCTTCCCCTCTAGCATCCTTGCCAATTCTGAGGGTTTTGCCTGTCTTCTAATTGAATACAAATTTAATGTGTGGATTAAAGACTTCAGTGTACTGCAGAGAGTGCTCAGTTTCAATGCAGTCAAAAGGAAAAGGTAATCTAAAGGTGACTATTGG